CTCTGAGATAGAATCTCAGCAAATCTACTTTTATTGCTGTGCTTATAAAATTAATTATATATACCTGCTGTAGATTGAAGATTAATTTTATTTACTTGAAATGCAAAGTTACAGTTAGAGAAGGAAATAGAGAGAGAGAGAGAGATCTTCCATCTACTGGTTCATTCCTCAAATGTCCCCAAAAGTTGGGGCTGGACAGATCAAAGGCAGGAGTTACATCCAGTTCTCCCGCATGTGTACAGGGGCCCAAGGACTTGGGAGATTATGTGAAGCTTTCTCAGGTGCCTTGGAGCTTGGAGCTGGATAAGAAGCAGAGCAGCACTGGAGGCAGTGGCTTAAACTGTTTTGCAAAAATGCCAGCCTAATACTTTCTGCAGCTAAAGGTTTAGACAAGATAAAAATCTCTTTGGTAGTATCATTGTGTAGAGCAGCCCTCTTTCTAATACTGATAATTATATACAGTTGATTTATAGATGTAAATTTCTGTTACAAAAGCATAGATCTTCATAAAATTCTTTATGTGTTTAATCAACAGAAAAGTATACTTTGGAGTGGCATACTCAGGACTCCGACAATCACACGTTTGTGGTGCTGTGTCTTGAGCAATAGCAATGGTGTTATTTCTACTGATCCTGAAAAATAAAAAATATCAGAAAGACAAGGTAACAGAAGAAATTCTGGGTCATCTGAAAAAGAGATATATAATAGCAGTTCCAATTGCATACTAGCAGGAGAAACCATCATGGAAGACATCAAATAACTTTTTATATTGCTATTGTCAGTGATTTTACTTGGCATTTGAAGATTTCCATTGCTGTATGCAGCATATACCATATGATCAACCATTGGCCTCAAGGAAGTCAGATTCTGAAAAGAAAGTGTATTCTCACCAAAATGATTATCATATGCCTACAGTGTGGACATTCTGACAGTGTACACTCCTAAGATTGTGTTGTAGACAAAGCAACATCAGCTCAATACTTACCTTGTATATTCCAATGGAAGCTTGTTTAGGATTTAGGGAGAGATTAAGGAGGATTAGACAAGCATGGGGAAGACACGGCAACATTATGCCCAACATAAGGTCAAATGGGAAAATATGCCAAGTGACTTTTCCATTATGCCTATAATTTTGAGCACAGTTGCAACAAATATTGTGATACATGAGCTCATAATCTTGCCAATAAACTCATTTCCTTTTAAAAAATGAAAACAAAAATTGCATGGTCTAATGGACATGATTCTAGTTTGTGTATGTGTAACAGATAATTTTTGTGTATATGCAGGCACCCAGGTTAGACAAAGATAATATTAAAATAATAACAAAAGGAACCCTAAGACTCACTTCACATAGTAAGTAATACTTAGAGTTGGCTGTCCATGAGGCAGATACCTGGGTGCTTTACACCGTGATGCACTGAATTGTGTCTCCCCAAGGTTACTATCTTGAATCTATAACATGCAATGTAACTGTATCTGGAGAAAGTGCCTTTAATGACACAATTAAAGGAAAAAACTCAAATGTGTGAGACCCTAACCCAGACTGGTGACCTCACAAAAAGATAAATAAGAGATGGACATGAACAAAGGAAATATAAAATGACATAGCAAGATGATGTCTGATTGGAAGCCAGAGAGAGTTGTCAGAAGAAAGCAAATTTACTGACATTTTGATCTTAGACTTCCAAGTTCCAGAACTATGAGAAAATAAATATCTGTGTTTAAACAATCCAATCTGTGTTAATTTGTTACAATGATCCTGACAAACTAAAGACTTTCCACCTCCGCCTGCATTATCTGCTGCCACCTACATGATCCACAATAAACTATCAGATAAATACACAAATTACAAATCAAAGGGACTAGCATTGTGGTGCAAAAGGTTAAGCCACCACCTGTGGCATAACAAATGGGTACCAGTTCAAGTCCTGCCTGCTCTTTTGCTGCTCTAGCTCCCTGCTGGTGCACCTGGGGAAGCAGTAGTGGAGTGTGGCCCAAGTACTTGAGGCTCTGCATCTTTGAGGGAGATTCAGATGAAGCCCCTAATTTTTGCTTTCACATTGGCCCAGCTCTGGCATTTGTAGCCATCTGGGAACTGAATCAGAAGATAGAAAACATTTCTATCTCTCTGTGCACCCCCCTCTATCTCTGTAACTCTGCCTTTCAAATAAAATACATCTTTAAGAAAAAGTAAACTACAGTTTAGTAACTGAAGACCTAAATCAAAGAAAGGAAAAAAAAATGCAAAAGATTAGAAAAAAGCAAAGATATTACAAAAATCTAGATGAGGCTGGCACTGCAGAACAGTATGTTAAGCTGATGCTTGCAATGGTGACATCTCATATCTGTACCAGTTTGTGTCCCAATCGCTCCACCTCTGATCCAGCTCCCTGCTATTGAACCTGGGGAAGCAACAAAAGATGGCCCAAGTGTGTGGGCCTCTGCCATCCATATAGGAGACCCAGATAAACCTCCTGGCTTCAGTCTGGCCTACCCCTAGCCATAGCAATCATTTTGGAGAGTGAACCAATGGATGGAAGATCTCTGTATAACGATGCCTTTCAAATAAATAATAAAATTTTTTAAAGATTTGTTTACTTATTTGAATGGCAAAGTTACAGAAAGAGAGAGATCATCCATCCACTGATTCACTCCCTAAATGTCAGCAACAGCAGAGCGTGGCTATTCTGAAGCTAGGATCCAAGAGTTTCTTCTGGGTCTCCCACATGGATGCAGGAGCCTAAAGACCTGGGCCATCTTCCACTGCTTCCCAAGACACATTAGCATGGAACTAGGTTGGAAGTGGAGCAGCTGGAACATGAACCAGCAGTCACATAAGATGTTGGCACTGCAGGAGGAGGCTTTACTTGCTACAGCTAAGCATCTGCCCCAATTAATATTTTAAAAATATAAAAAAGGAAAATATAAAATGTATAAATTATAGTTGTATATATGTATACATTTCTGAAAAGCATATAATTTGATCCAATTGAAAATGTAAATTTTAAGTGATATAATTAATAAAGATTTAAAAATATGTTGATTCTACAGCATAAGATATAATATACATCAACTTTCCAAGGTCCTATATGCACTTATTCACACAGTTTCATATGGGTAATCAGTAGTGTAGCTCAAATAACAGTCTTATCCAGGGATCTCACTAAATTTATGCAGGGTGCTCAATAGACATCTTAGAAAAGTTCCAAAATATGTATCAGAAGAGAAATAAATAATTTACTTGGTACATCTCATGTTAACGATTAAAGTATTGCATAAATTTCCAATAGTCAGATGTATGCAAAAAATTCCACAGGTGGCAGAGATGATCTGACATAGACAGCCAACTCTTAAGTAGTACTTACTGTGTTAAGTGAGTCTTAGGGCTCCTTTTGTTATTATTTTAATACTATCTCTTTCTAACCTGGGTGCCTGCATGTACAAAAAAATTATCTGTTACACATACACAAACTAGAATATAGATAACTCATAAGAGTGTACATATAAAATCAGTATAGCAGTCCATAAGATGAAATATTTGAAACACTTAAACTGATGAAAAGTAGAAAAATGATAACAAAATCTGAGTTCCATTACAGTATATATGATATACAGTAAATATGATATACTTTAAAATAAAGGGTTTTTTAAATATTTATTTTATTCACTTGAAAGAGTTACAAAGAGAGGTAGAGATAGAGAGAGATCTTCCATCTGCTGGTTTACTCCTCAGATGGCCACAATGGCCAGAGCTGCACCAATCCAAAACCAGGAGCCAGGAGCTTCTTTCAGGTCTCCCATATGTGTGCAGGGGCCCAAGGAGTTGGGCCATCTTCTACTGCTTTCCCAGGCCATAGCAGACAACTGGATCAGAAGAGGAGCAGATAGGACTAGAACTAGCGCCCATATGGGATGCCAGCACTTCAGTCCAGGGCTTTTACCTGCTGCGCCACAGTGCTGGCCCCCTAAAATAAAGTTTTTAAGTTACAACTTAGCTAGAGAAAATAAGAATTCACAGATCTAAACTAAAATAATTAAGATGGCCCAACAAAAGGAAACTCAATGTCTTCATGTATCAAAATTCATTACATTAGGCTTAATTAATAAAAAGCTGGTTATTCCAACTATTCCCATTTGGCAGCCCAATTTTATCATTAAATTTAGAAAAAATAAATAACACCTCATGATAGATTACTAAAATCCTAATGCTCTATGCCATCCATTATATTCACCACACTTAATACCTAATATTAACATATCTGATGCCTCTCAATAGATAAGTGACATATTTTAACTATTACAAGTGGGGCAAATGTCTTTGTTCAAAGCTTTTCCAATAGCCCCTCAGTCTCAGTTTGCCTTCACCTTGAAAGGACACTTCTTCTAAAGTATATGTGTATACTTCATTGACTTTGCCATCAAATACAATTTTTTTAAACTTTTATTTAGTAAATATAAATTTTATTTAGTAAATATAAATTTCCAAAGTACAGCTTATGAATTACAATGGCTTTTACCCCCCCTAACTTCCCTCCCACCTGCAACCCTCCCATCTCCCGCTCCCTATCCCATTCCATTCACATCAAGATTCATTTTCAATTATCTTTATATACAGAAGATCAGTTTAGTATATATTAAGTAAGGATTTCAACAGTTTGTATCCACACAGAAACACAAAGTGAAAAATACTGTTTGAGTACTAGTTATAGCATTAATTCACATTGAACAACACCTTAAGGACAGAGATCCTACATGAGGAGTAAGTGTACAGTGACTCCTGTTGTTGACTTAGCAAATTGACACTCTCGTTTATGGCGTCAATAATCTCCCTAGGCTCTTGTCATGAGTTGCCACGGCTATGGAAGCCTTTTGAGTTCACAGACTTCGATCTTATTTAGACAACGTCATAATCAAAGTGGAAGTTCTCTCTTCTCTTCAGAGAAAGGTACCTCCTCCTTTGATGGCCCGTTCTTTCTACTGGGATCTCACTTGCAGAGATCTTTCTTTTTTATTTTTTATTTTTTGCCAGAGTGTCTTGGCTTTCCATGCCTGAAATACTCTCATGGGCTCTTCAGCCAGATCCTAATGCCTTAAGGGCTGATTCTGAGGCCAGAGTGCTGTTTAGGACATCTGCCATTCTATGAGTCTGCTGTGTATCCCGCTTCCCATGTTGGATCGTTCTCTCCCTTTTTAATTCTATCAGTTAGTATTAGCAAACACTAGTCTTGTTTATGTGATCCCTTTGACTCTTAGACCTATCAGTATGAACAATTGTGAACTGAAATTGATCACTTGGACTAGTGAGATGGCATTGGAGTTAGAAATGTGCAAGGGGATTCCAATTCAAACACAATTTTTGCAAAGAATTTAACTGCACCCACCTTTTATCAGGAGCACAAGCATACATCACATTGATGGCATCCTCCCTGAATGAGACTATTTGATACACTTGTGAAGAACATACAAGTTTAATACCTTATCATCCTACTTGGGGTTTTGTGCAATGCATGCCTCATTTAAAAAATTGTCACTGATGCTACAAATCAGTCCAGCATATATGGGCCTCCCTCAAATGAAAATAGCCAAAAGCAGTCAAAATAAGTTATATATACACTATCTTTAGTGTCTCAGTGACTTCTTTACTCTAAGGGCTCACACACCTTCCAAATTATCTGGATTACCTGTGATGTCCATTAGCTCTCAAGAGCTAAGATGCAAAAATTGCCTATCTTGGAACATTGCTATATTACAGTAAAACTAAATTAGATAACTATTACCTGTGCTATACTGGAAATATAGTCTCCTACACAACTTGAGCCTGTGATTCTCCAAACCATATTGTTTACTAAGACTTTGGCCAAGGATATAGGACAGTAAAACCTGAGCATGACTACTAAGGCCTGTTAATATAAGGATGGACCCAAACTTGGCATATTTCATTTGGTTGAGGGGATTTCCTCCAAAGGCTACTGTCTATGTGCAGATTCAGGGAGCATGTCACCCCTCTAACAAACAGAAAAGCCATTTAAGTTCAGCTGGACATCATTCAGCTGACTGTTGCTCTCACTACTGCTGGTCTGGATGCTTTCATTGGTTCCAATCCAGAGACCCAAAATTGCCATAGACATTATCATTGGCAAACATGAAACTCTGCTAACAAAAGCTTAAACCAAGAGTTATGGCTTAATATCTATTTTAGCACAATTTCTCAGAGCCCATCTTGGACAGATGGAAGCGTGATACTTGGCCCACCCATAAATGGAACTTTGTGCCAAATGGATCCTATATCCTTGAACTGCAAGGAGATTATCATAGATATTAATGCTCCAAATTGATCTGGTTCCCTGATAAAGTGTCTAGAAAAGCAGAACAAGATGGCCTAAATCTTGGGCCCCTGAACCATGTGAGAAACCTGGAAGAAGCTCCTGGCTCTTGACACTAGTCTGGCCTGGTTATGGTCATTGTAGCCATTTGGGGAATGAAGAAACCAGAAAGATCAATCTCTCCCTCTCTCACTCTATAACACTGCCTTTCGAAATACAAATAAATATTTTAAAAAGTAGATCACTTCAGTAGATTCCCCATTGCCCAGCTTTGATGACTTTTAATACCAGAAGGTCTTTTTAAAAGATTTATTTATTTGAAAGGCAGAGAGAGGGGCTGGCGTTGCAGACAAAGCTGTCATCTATTACCTTGGCATTCTGTATTGGGACTGGTTCAATTCAGCTATACACCTTCTGATCCAGCTCTCTGCCAATGAAGATGGCCCAAGGACTTGGGTTCCTGTCACCCATATAGGAGAGCCAGAAGCTTCTGGCTTCAACCTGACCATAACCTGGCCATTGAAGCCATCTAAAGAGTGAATCAGCTGATGGAAGATTTCTGTTTCTCCCTCTGTCTATAACTCTTTCAAATAAATAAGTAAATATTTTTAAAAATGATTTTTTTTAAAAAGGCAACAAGAGAGACACACAGAAAGAGAGAGATAGAAAGGGGGAGAGTGGGACAGAGAGATCTTCCAACTGCTGATTCACTCCCTAAATATCTGGAAAAGCTGTAACTGGACTAGGCTCTCAAGTCTCCCACTTTGGTGACAGATCTCCCAGTTAAGTGACAGGAACTAAAGAATTTGAGCCATCATCCACTGCCTCCCAGGGACATTAGCTTGAAACTAGTTTGGAAGTGGAGCACCCAAGACTCAGATTAGCACTGCAATATAGAATGTGGGCATCTGATGCAATGACTAAAAAAATGGAAAATCTAGAAGAAATCAACAAATTTCTGGACACATACAATACACCAAAATTCAGTTATGAAGACACATAGAAAACCTAAATCAAGACAACCAAAAATATAGAGATAGAATCAGTAGTAAAGATCCTCCCAACAAAGAAAAGCCCAGGACCAGACAGTTTCACTGCTGAAATCTATCAGACTTTTAAAGAACTAATTCCAACTTTTCTCAAACTATTCAAAACACTTGAAAGGGAGGGAATCTTCCCAAACTCCTATTAGGCCAGTATCACCTTAATTCCTAGACTAGAGAAAGCTACAATGGAGAAAGAGAACAGTAGACCAATATCCCTGATTAAAATAGAGGCAAAAATCCTCATCAAAATACTAACCAATCGAATCCAACACATAAAAAAGTTCATTCACACAGACCAAGAGGGATTTATCTTTGGTATGCAGGAATGATTCAACATAAGCAAATCAATAAATGTGATACATCATATTAACAAACTGAATAAAAACCATATGATGATCTCAATAGATGCAGAGAAAGCAGTAGATAAAATACAACATGCTTTCTTTATAGAAACCTTAAGCAAACTGGGTACAGAAGAAACATTCCTTAAACAATCAAGGCAATATATAATAAATCTTCAGCCAGCATCCTATTGAATGGGAAAAATTGGAAGCATTCCCACTAAGATCTGGAACCACATGAAGTTGCTCACTCTCACAACTGCTATTCAATACAGTTCTAAATGTTTTAGCCAGAGCAATAATGCAAGAAAAAGAAATAAAAAAAGATATAAATTAGTCAGGAGAAAGTCAATGTATCCCTGTTTGCAGATGACATGATCATATATGTAAGGAAACCAAAGGACTCCATTAAGACACTATTGGCACTCATAAGAGAGTTTGGTAAAGTTTTAAGTTATAAAATCAACACACAGAAATCAGTAGCCTTCATGTACATGCAAAAATTTCTGGCTGATAAAGAATTTATCAGGTCAGTACTATTTTTTTTTCTTTAATCAATTTTATTTTTTACATAAAAAGTTCAGTAAAAATTGGATAAAGTAAAGTGATTTTAAGCAGTAAATCAATCTTATCAACATAGCACAAGGCTGACCAAAACCACAAGGCAGCCTGCTTTGGAATATTTACATGATAACAAATTAAACCTTGCAGGAGAACTTAAACCATCCTTACAAAAGTCTTCCTGTGATCCTAGCACGTAAAGGCTAAAAGCAAAACAAAAACCAGGAAAAAAACAAAATTATTTTCAATATATTCACATATACATTAAAATATAATACAGATCATCAGGGTTTAGGGTCTTGGGTGGGGATGCACATGGGTCTGTGCGCTGACAGCACCGCCAAGGAGGAGACCCAGGTTAGAGTGGGGTCAGGTCTGGCCAGGGTCTTCCCTAAACCCTTGCCTCTGGTGGCCTCTAAGCACAACCCAACAGTTTACAAGAGGGATCATTTGTTGCAGATGAAGCTCACTTTTGTGGCTTTCAGTTGACACCTGCAGGTCTGCATCCTCCAGGGTGGCAGTGCCATCAGGAGTGCAGCCCTGACAGGGTGGGGCAGAGAGGCCCATGGGAGTTCTCCCAGAGTCTGTGCTACCTGATTCACCTGTTCTTCCACCCGGCCCCATAAGTCACTCTAATTCAGTGTCCTCTTTGGGTTTGTAAACAGCCCCAAACTTCTGCATGTACTTCTTAATGTACTCCTTGGTTTTGTGTTTCACATTCTCATTGCACTCCAGGTCCTCGGGGTTCTTACAGTACTTCAATTCCTTATTCATAACGCCGTGAGTCAGCTTGCGAGCAAGGTGTTTGAAGTCCTCAGTTGTAGTAATTCTTCCCACTTTGCAGTCAGGTTTCCAGTAAGGGTTCAGGCACTGGACGATGAACTGGGACATCTCTTTTCTGAATACTTCTTTGCTTTTCTTAGCCAGCTCACTGGAGGTGTCTGCTTCTGCTGTCTTGGGCTTTTTTGATGTCTTCATGGGGTTTTCATCATGTTGGGGTTCCCAGGTCCATCTCAGCTTCATGCTCAAGACTAGCATCATCACCTGGGCTTTCCCAAGTAGGAGGATCCCACTGCGTCTCAGGTCAGTACTATTCACAATAGCAAAATACATTTTCTTACCTTGGAATAAATTTAATCAAGAATGTGAAAGATCTCTACAATGAAAATTACAAAATATTAAATAGAAAACATAAAAATGAAAAAAAATCTTCCATATGCATAAATTGAAGGAATATCATCAAAATGCCCATACTACCAAAAACAATATTTAAAATGTTTTATTTTATTTTTAATGATCTATTAATTCATTTGAAAAGCAGAGCCACAAAGGGTCACAGAAAAAAGAGAGAGAGAGAGAGAGAGAGAGAGAGAGAGAAGACCTCCACCTGCTGGTCTACACCTTACGAGGCCACAACAGCCAGAGCTGGGCCAATCTGAAGACAGGAGCCTGGAGCTTCTTCCAGGTCTCCTGCATGGATGCAGGGGCCCAAGGGCTTGGCCCACCCTCCACTGCTTTCGCAGATGCATTATCAGGGAGGTGTACTGGAAGTTGAGCAGCCAAAGTGGAGTTGCTCCATTTCCAATTCATTAAAAAGACAGATAAAATTAATGTCACCATTCCTAACAAGCTCATCCTGAATCATTCTTATCTATCAGTTTCTACTATGATATTTATTTCTCATGAATTTATATCCATATCATCTTAAAAGGATGCAATGTATCCTAGAGAAGGGAAGTCATATTTTATGTGGATTTGAGTTTGGAGCAATACAATATAAAATATAACTTAAAATTTGAGTTAATTAAATGCATTATTTTCAAAATGTGAGGAATCATAATTTTCTTAAATAAAAATGATATAAACATAATTTATATACCTTGTAATTCATCCATTACTAATGCTTACGCAATTCACTGTTTTTCAGTTGTGTGTAAATATCACCACTTTCAATATCAAAACATTTTTATGCAATCAAAAAGAAAGTTGGAAGATGGCATTTGGCCAAGTTGTTAAGATGCTGCTAAGGACACCAACATTCCACAATGCCTGGATTTTACTGCCAGCTCCACTCCTGATTTAATTCCAGTTTCCCCCAAAAGCATACCGTGAAGAACATCACCTGGGAAGCAATGGCTCAAGTAGGTGGGAGCCTCTGAGCCATGTTGGAGACAGGGATATAGTTATTTTTAAAATAAAATTGCTTACTTGAAACACACACACACACACACAGAGAGAGAGAGAGAGAGAGAGAGAGAGAGAGAGAGATCTTCTCTATCCCCAAAGTCTTCAAACTTAGTCAACACAAAAGTGGTTTCATAGATATGCTTACTGTAGACATGATGTATAATGGAAGATGGGATCTATGTGTTCTCTTGCCAAATACAGAGCCTCCATCATTCAGATAGGACAGAGCCCTACCTCTGAGCCACACTCACCCAGAACATACTCCTGGCAACAGGTAATTGGGGGCAGAACAAATGAGGATGGCCTGCCCCCAATTGGCAACAGACAGGAGAGGGATCCTGGTGTCTACATTTCACTGTCAGGACAGGAGAGAAGAGAGTAGACCTGGATCAAATAGCACCAAGTCTTTTGTTCTTACTGAATCTTAAATTTTCTGTGGTATTTGTTTACTTCCCTTATGTCTTTGGGACTTTACTATTATAGCTTCTAGTTTAGACTTCAAGTACTTCTCATCAATTTTACTTAAACAAGTGCCCCTACTGAACTCACTGTCATGCCCAAATTCTATGAATAATTCTATTTTAATACTTACATAGTTAATTATTATGTTTATAATTATCACATACTAATGGCAAATTAACTAAAAAGAATTAAATTCAAGTAAATATCAATCTCAAAACTGACTCATGTTATTATTTCTATGGTGTGGAGGTACAGATGTTGATTACATGTAACATTAAAATGCAATTTTTAAAAATCCTGTAATAGGCACCTCCATGTTCACTGAACTGGTAAAATCCATTGCATGTGTTGAAAACACACATAGTGATAAATTTGGAAAAGCTGTTAAGTACTATAAGTGGCTGTCAAAGAGCTCAAAAACCCACAATGACTCACTATGACATTAATTTAGTATATAATGCTGAGAAAATCAGAAGTATTTGTTAAAATTTCTGCTACAATGCACTAGGTTTATGATTTCCAGAATGCTATCTCTCTTTTGTGTAATGTAGCACTGTGCTAGTTTTGAGTTACACAAATTTAAAGTATAAAAGATTTCTTCTTTTTGTTTTTGTAAAGATTTATTTAATTTATTTGAGAGGCAGAGTTACAGACATAGATAAGGAGAGACATTGGTTCTATCCATTGGTTCACTCCCAAAATGGCCACAATGGCTGTACCTGTGCCAATCCAAAGCCCAGAGCCAGGAGCACTCAGGCCATATTCCACTGCCATTAATAAAGAACTGAATTGGAAGTGCAGGAGCAGGAACTTGAACTGGCACCTATATGGGATGCTGGTGCTGCAGGTGAGGCTTAACCCGCTATGCCACAGCATGGGTTCAGTGAAAGGTTTTGGGAAGGCATTCTTCATGTAGACTAGTCTGTAATATTGTAAGGTAAGGTTTAGATTTAGGTTTTATTTCACACACATCAGTATTCATCTTATAGAAACTATAAATATTGAATATCATATATATACACAGTAATTGCAGATATTGTTATCATTTCTAATTCTCTTTTGTTACCTTTCCAATTCTCTTTTTAACATCTGCCAACTTATGGATAATTGTACTGATGTTACCTGTATACAACCATCAGGCATTTGTACTGTATTATGTAGTGTTTATGTGTACAGGAATTTTTGTGTCTGTGTATGTATACATGAATGCACAACTTTTGATGGAGATAGTATTGAAAGTAATACTGTGAGAACTCCTAACATTTATTTCAAAATCTCTCTCCTCCCCAGAGATGGCTGCCTATGAGGCAGACCATGGGCCTTTTGCTGTTATGGACTGAAATGTGCTTTCCTGACACTCATACCTTGAAGGTCTAACCACCAACGTGACTCTACCTGAAGAAAGCACTTTGAAGCCGGTCAAATGTTATCATATGTGTAAGTCCCATAGGGAGAAAAGTCTCTAGAAAAATCAAGCCTGTTATGACCTTGATCTTGTATTTTCAACCTCCACAACTCTGAGAAGTAAAAATCCATGATTTAAATCATATTACCTGCGGAATTTTGTTAGCAAAGTCCTCATTTCTGCCAGCACTTCTTGCAGTCATCTAGAAGGTCCCCACTGCAGGAAATATAGAAACTAAAAACTGACTTTAGATGGCCAAACATTTACAAACACAAGAAAGTTATCAGATAATCAACCAGTCTCAACAAAAGACCCAGAAAAAAACAATAATGAATCAAATCTAAGGGCAGTAGAAAAAAATGAAAAATAAAGATCACAGCAGAAATAAATAAGGAAGGAGCTGGTGCTGTGGTGCAGTGGGTTAAAGCCATATGGGTGCTGATTTGAGACCCAGCTGCCCCACTTCCAATGCAGTTCCCTGATAATGCACCTAACCCTAACCCAAATCTGAACCTGAATATGAACCCTAACCTGAACCCTAACCCTAACCCTAACCCTAACCCTGATCCTAACCATAACTTAAACCTAACCCTAGCCCTAACCCTTACTTAATCATAACCATAACCCTTAACCATGACCCTTAACCCTAACCCCAGTGCTAGCTCTGACTTTGACCCTGACCCTAACCCAGAACCTCGACACAACCCAAAAGCCCAGCTTCCTGGAGAAGGGCCTAGAACCAAAATCATAATAAATTAATTCCTTGAATTCCACGTTCCGGAAGCTACCAGAAGGCCATGTCCCCTACAGAATTCACTTTTTTAATATGATTTTTATACAAATCTCTATTTTTTTGTGTCATCTCAGACAATGAGACTGGAGATCCCAGCCTCATAAAAAATAATAAATTACTAGTCTTTACAAGACCTGCACACCTGAAGACATATGGAAAATTCTGGAATTCCATAGAAAGTTCCAGAATTCATAGAAATTTCCAGAATTCCATGGAAAATTCCAGAATGTTCCAGAAAAAATCAATATACTGTTTTTCCATAACTGCTTTCATTTGCCTTTCAGGTCAATATAGTGCATATTTGCTAATAAAAATTGTGTTTTACAAATAGATGTGAGATTAGTATTTGCTGGTGGATTCAATTGGCCATGCCTGCCTGAGTGTTTCTCTGGGTTTGATTCGTTATGTCTGTGTCTCGGACTCAATTGGCCACACCTGCCCGGGTCTCACTCACTCTGGGCTCGATTGGTTCGGCCTGTCACACTAAAGAAGGTCCCACAGCGGCACCGCCTCCCCTGGGCAGAGAGGCGAGGTGGAAGCGCTGAAAGTGGGGTTATGGTCCCGGGATCTGGCGCGGGTGGCCTCCGGGGACGTTCGTGCGGTTGCTTAGCTACAGCCTCGCCTCAGCTCTGCGGGGCCCGGTTGCTTAACAACAGACTCTGAGCTCTGCCAAACCGGCGCCCGGTTACTTAGCTTGGCCAAGTTTCCGCTCTGCCAACGGGGCGGCCGATTGCTTAGCAACAGCGTCCCTCCAGCTGGGCCTACTCCGTGCCGCAATGCTTAACAGGATCTCTGCAAAGCCGGCGCATCGTTGCTTAGCAACAGCCACGCCTCAAGTCTGTGGCCCCACGCCCGGTTGCTTAGCAACAGAATCTGAGCTCTGCAAAGTCTGCGGCCCTTTGTTTAGCAACAGCGAAGCCTCAGCTCTGTCCACGCCTGACCGGCTTTTCCTGGTGGAATCCAACCTCAGCCCCCGAGAAACTTTCGGTTTCTTTCAGGGGGGGTGGGGGAATCCGCTGGAAATGAGCACAGTGCCCGGCATGCATACGCAGTGCACACAGGGCAGGGGCGGAACTTCCGGTTTTGTGCCGGGGTTAGTCATGGCCGAGGCGTCCCGCGCATGCGCACACAAGTGCCCGCCGCGCGTACGTGGAGGCGGGGCGCAAACGTGGCAGCTTTGGCGGGAGGTGAAGCCACGGATTCCTTTCTTTCTCCCTGTTTTATTTTTAGATTCGTTTATTTACTTAGGAGACGACCGTGTACCCGGCTGGAGACAGGAGCCCCTGAAATTCTAGAAAAATCCCCGTGTATCGCTGCTCGAATTTTCCACGGAGCCAAAGCTGGCTGAGAAGCTGTTTGCAAAAATCGACAGAAAAATACTGAGGCCTTTGGAACCTTCTACGGTAGGGAAATTCGAGAATTTTAAAATGCAAAAAAAAAAAAAAAAAAAAAAGAAATTGCAGGTTGACTGGCAGGTGCTGGCGGAGCTTCCGTGACTGACAGCAGCTGATAATACTCCAGCCCCCTGAGTCTCCGCTGCCTTCTGTCATTGTCACAGGGGAATAAAGAGGATAGAGGGACGCCATGTTGACCCCCAGACCGGCCTGGTGAGTGCGAGGGCCCTAGGTATTGCTAATCGATTGGACTGGGCGCCAGACTCATCTGTAGCCCTGGGTGGGGCCAAGCTGAAGCTAGAAGCCTGAGGCTCTATCTAGGCCTCTCAGCAACTGCATAGGACCCTGATCCTACACCAGGAGCTCCATCCTGGTCTCAGCAGGTGCACAGGGCTTTGAGACTGCACTAGGATCCCCATCCAGGTCTCCCAGCAGTAGTAGAAGGCTTTGAGCCTGCACTCAGAGCTCCATTCCAGTCTCCCAGCAGGAACACAGGGCCCTGAGCCTACCCCAGGAGCTCCATTCTGGTCTCTCAGCAGGTGCACAAGGCTTTGAGCCTGTTCCAGGGGCTCCATTCTTGTCTCTCAGCAGGTGCACAAGGCTTTGAGCCTGCACTAGGGGCTCCATCCGGGTCTCCAGCAGGTACACAGGGCTTTGAGACTGCACCAGGAGCTCCATCCAAGTCTCCCAGCAGGTGTGCAGGGCCCTGAGCTTGCACCAGCAGCTCCATCCTGGTCTCCCACGTGGGCATAGCAAGTGCACCTGCCTGCACCAGGAGCTCCGTTGGGTATCAGGCAGGTGCACAGGGCCCCGAGCTTGCACTAAGAGCTCCATCCAGGTCTCCCAGCAGGTGCATCCCTCACATTCCAGGGGCCTCCGGATTCTCGCCCTGGGACTGATACTACTGCTGCTGCATCCCCAGCCCTCTGCTTCTGGCCCCAGGCCCAACTTCCTCCTCCTGCTGGCCGACGACCTGGGCATCGGGGACCTGGGCTGCTATGGGAACAAGACCCTCAGGCATGGACCTGGGAGGGGTTCCCCAGTCGCTCCAACCCTGAGGGGCTCGCAAGAGGCAGAGCTAGATTCAGTTGCATTTGCAGGACCCCGAATATCGACCGCCTGGCACAGGAGGGGGTGCGGCTGAGCCAGCACCTGGCTGCAGCCTCCGTGTGCACGCCCAGCCGTGCTGCCTTCCTCACGGGCAGGTACCCGGTGCGCTCCGGTGAGTCCATCTGTGGTGGTGTGGGACGTGTTGTGGGAATGACCTAGAATGTTCTTTGAGAATGATCTGGAATATTCTGTGAGGAAAAAATTCTGGAATATTCTATGAGAAAAATTTAGAATATTCTTTGGAACAACGTAGAATGTGAGAATAATCTAGAATATCCTTAGAACAATGTAGAATATTCTATGAGAACAATCTAAGGTATTCCACGAGAATAGAATATTATATGAGAACAATCTATAATATTTTATGAAAAATATCTAGAATATTCTATGAAAATAATGTAGAATATTCTCTGATAATAATCTATTCCATGAGCTCAACCTAGAAAGTTCTCCAGCAAGGAAGGTGCAGCTCTGACATCATTCACAATCTGCCTCCGCAGGCATGGCTTCCAGCACCGGGGATCGGGTATTACAAGCCACAGGGGTCTCCGGGGGGCTTCCGGCCAACGAGACGACGTTCGCAAAAATCCTGAAGGAGCGCGGCTATGCGACAGGAATAATCGGTGAGTGAGCTTATAACGTCATCACCCCTGGCCGTGACGTGGAGCAGGTGTGCACCTGCTGGGATACCCAGATGGGGCTCCTGGTGCAGGTGCGGGGCCCTGGGTACCTACTGGAAAACCCAGATGGAGCTCCTAATGCAGGCTTGGGGTCCTGTGCACCCATGAGGAGACCCAGATGGAATTCCTGGTGCAGGCTAAGGTCCTGTGCACCTGCTGGAGACCCGGATGGAACTTCTGATGCATGCTCAGAGCTCTGTGCGCCTGCTGAGAGACCCGGATACCCCTCAATGCATAGAATTCCTTAGCCCCACCCCCTCACCCACACATGCACTGTCTGTCCTCTCCCCCACAGGAAAATGGCACCTGGGCCTGAACTGCGCATCATCCCAAGATCACTGCCACCACCCGCTGCACCATGGCTTTGACAGCTTCTACGGGACACCGCTAAGCCTCATGGGAGACTGCACGCGCTTTGAGCTCTCAGAGAAGCGGGCAGGGCTGGAGCGTGCCCTGGGGTTGTGCGCAGGTGCAGCTGCTGCAGCCGCCATTGCAATGGCGGTGGGGAGGCTCATGGGGCTGGCACATGGGACCTGGGCTCCAGTGATCCTCTGTGTGGCCAGCGCCGGGGTTCTCGGTTCCCTCGGGCGTGCGATGGGGCCGCTGGTGCAGCTTGCAGACTGCGTGCTTATGCGGGGCCAGGAGATCGTGGAGCAGCCGCTGGACCTTGCCCGTGCCGCTGCCCGGGTGCTCCGGGAAGCCGAGGGCTTCCTGCGCAGGTGAGTGTGCATCTTCTGGGGCTGCATCTTGGTCTTGGCAGATGCACAGGGCCCTGAGCCTACACCAGGAGCTCCATCTGGAACTCCAGCAGGTGTAGGGGGCCCTGAGGCTGCACCAGGAGCTCCATCCAGGTGTCCTCGAGAGTGCAGCAGCTTCACAGGGCCCTGAGTCTGCACCACGAGCTCCATCTGGGTCTCCCCGTGGGCATATCAGGTGCACAGAGAACCATGACACCTCATGCACAGGATTTTTGCAGCCACAAGACTGGTCCCTTCCTGCTTCTGGTCTCGTTCCTGCACGTGCACACTCCACTTGTCACCACACCCCCGTTCCTGGGGCGCAGCGCACATGGGCTGTATGGAGACAATGTGGAGGAGCTGGACTGGATGGTGGGTGAGTGCACACGGCCCAAGCATGCACAGGGCACGCCTGCATTGCAGTGAGGTAGAGGTTAGCACCCGGCGAGATTGTGTGAACTGCACAAGCATGCACACGGCACACACGCATTGCAATGAAGCAGAGGTTTGCACCCAGCAAGGCTTATGCATGAGCACCAGCATGCCCAAGGCATGCCTACAATGCATGAGGAAGAGTTTTTCTTGGGGGCAGGGCTCCCCAGGGGCTGTGCACACTGCACACATCCATGGCATCGGTCATCAACTTGCCCACCTGTCTCCCAGGCCGCATTTTGAGCAGGCTGGAGCAGGAAGGGCTAAGTGAGAGGACTCTGGTCTACTTTGCTTCAGATAACGGGGGCTGGCTGGAGGCGCGCGTGGGCAGCCAGCAGTATGGCGGCTGGAACGGTGGCTTCAGAGGTGAGGCTGTGGCAGCAGGGGACCCTGGGTGCAGGGGAGGGTCCCAGATGATTGACAGTGGTGGTGCACAGTGCCCTGAGATTCCCCTGGAACTCCATCCAGGTCCCCCAGCAGGTGCACAGGGCCCTGAGCCTGTACCAGAGCTCCATCCGGGTCTCCCCATGGGGGCAGGGAGGTGCACAGTGCCCTAAGCCTGCAGCAGGAGGTGCATCCGTGTCTCCCAGAGGGCGCAGCAGCACACAGGGCCCTGAGCATCCCCTGTCTCCTCCCCCGCAGGGGGCAAAGGCATGGGCGGCTGGGAAGGCGGTATCCGGGTCCCCGGGATCCTGCGCTGGCCAGGGGTCCTGCCCCCGGGCCATGTAGTACCAGAGCCTACAAGCCTGATGGACGTGTTTCCCACTGTGGTGAAGCTGGCGGGAGGCGCGCTCCCGCAGGACAGGTGCCAGTGCCCACGCCCCTGTCCCTCTTTGCCCCAGCTGGCTCAATCATCTCCTTCCAGCCACAGCAGCTCTGTGTCCCTCCCCCTTCAGGGTGATTGATGGGCGGGACCTGATGCCACTGCTGCTGGGGGCGGAGCCTCACGGGGGCCATGAGTTCCTGATGCACTACTGCGAGACGCACGTGCACGCGGTGCGCTGGCACCAGCGAGAGCGTGAGTCCTGTGGGAGGGACAGGAGGGGGGGATCAGGGCCCCGTGCATCTGCTATGCCCACGGAGAGACCGGGATGGAGCTCCTTGTGCAGGCTCAGGGCCCTGTGCACCTTCTGATCCCACAAGCAGAGACTGGCAGAACCAATTTAACCTGGAGAGACCCAGACACAGAAACAAGTAGAACCAAGGAACCCAAAGAGTCGGAGGGTGGCATGGCCAATGGAACCTGAGACAGGCAGAACCAATCGAACCCAAAGAGAGAGAGTCAGCGGCAGACGTGGCCAAATAAATCTGAGCTAGAGAGCGAGGTTTATATGGCCCCGTGCAAAAAGCAGATGCACCTGCAGCTCATCCCCTACTCCTGCTCTCTGCCCCAGGAGGAACCACGTGGAAGGTTCACTTCACAACTCCGGAGTTCGAGACCCCAGGCGCCGGTGCCTGCTACGGCCGGGCCGTGTGCGACTGCACGGGGTCCCAGGTGAAGGAGCACGAGCCACCTCTGCTGTTCGAGCTCTCGAGGGACCCGGGGGAGGGGCGGCCGCTGACACCTCACTCGGAGCCCACTTACCCTGAGGTCCTGGCCCGGGTGCGGGAGGCCCTGGCCGTGCACGTGCGCTCACTGGGACCCGCGCCCCCTGGCCAGCTAGACTGGCCCTGCAATGCCTGGCGGCCCTGGCTGCAGCCCTGCTGCGGTCCATTCCCTCTGTGCTGGTGCCAGCGCGAGCAGGACTGACTGCCAGATGATTGACTGACAGGCGGGGCAGAAAAGAAGCAGCCATGCGCAATAAACACCCAGCAGATGCAAGATGATTGACAGGTAGATGATTGACAGGCAGGGCTCACCCACTTGGGAAAAAGCAAACATGCAAGAAAAACTAGCACCAGTCCCCCGCTCTGGGAATAACCCAGACCCACCACCCCCCAGGTCCTGAGTAATAGGACCCAGAGCCCAACAGCACACCGAACCTCGCCAATGCCTGACTGGACAAGAATCTGCCACTCAGAGCAAAGCCCCGCTCCATAATCTGCCCCTGATAGGAGAGAACACTTGCCATCCAAAATTCCGCCTCATCCGTACTCAAACATCCAATCCGGGCTGGAAGCCTCTCAACCTGCTCACCCGTGACTGGACACGTAACTTGACACTCAGACTCCAAACCCTCCCCCCCATTACCTCCTCCTGACTGGAAGCGGGAAATGCCAATCTGTACTTGGAATCCCGCATACCGCTGTCCCACCATGATAGGAAGAAGAAGGTGCCAGTCTTCGCAGAAGTCTCCAAGAACCGCCTTCACGGCACCATGTCTGTTTCCCGCGTGCCACAGACATCTCTATCCAGGCCTAGCTTAGAAGTCTGAGATGATTGATAGCTTCCGGTATGCCCTCTCAAGATTCCTGAGAGGGAGAAGGTAGGGTTTCGGCTGCTGATTGGCATTTGCCCCGTCGAAGTCAGAGGAAGCAAGTGGGATTCTGTGCGCTGATTGGTAGGATCTTTGTAGAAGGAGGGGATTTGTAGCTGACTGGCAGGTTGCGTGTTCAATTAAGGTCAAGGCTTTGTTAGGACTGGAGGAGGCGGGGTTCTGGGTGTTGATTGGCATCTCCGCAGTCCAATCAGGCAGAAAGAATGGGCGGCGGAACAGGACGCGACTGTGAGTGCTGAGTGGCAGTTTTCTCGTCCTATCAGAGTCAGACTTTGTGATGGACCGGATGGAGGCGGGGTTGTGGGCGTGTCCCTCCCTATTTGGATCTGAATTGTGTGAGGGACATTCTCAGGAAAAACATTCCACCTAGCCATGGAGGGCAGTTGGATTTCCTGGGGGCAGCTCGGGGCCCCGTGCACCTCCTGGGAGACCCGGATTGGGCTTCTGTTGCAGGCTCAGGCCCAGTGCACCTGCTGCACCTATGGAGAGACCCAGATGGAGCTCCTAGTGCAAGCTTGGGGCCCCGTGCACCTGGTTGTTCAGAACACCGCAGCTGCAAAAGTGCAAGGCATGGACACATGGCAAAGCCCTGTGGGTTTTTTTTTTTTCTATTTTTTTTCATTTATTTAAAGACAATGCGTGCACATAGGGGGGAGACAGCTCATTTTTGCAATAATTAAATCAAAAGCAATTGCAAAAAAAATATATAAAATAAAGCCATTATTTCTAACCTTATCCTATAAAACCCTCAGAAGCCTGAGCTTCCCTAGTGCAATTATGGGAGCAGGAATGGGGGGATGCTAAGAGTTGTTTTTTTTTTTTTTTTTTATGGAACATTTTAGAACAATACCACGCATGAATCCTCATCTTTTATCGGAGACATCAGCTTCTTCCCCTTTCAGAAGCCTAGGATTTCCCAAAGGGATTATGGGAGCGGGGCTGTGCGGTTTCTTTGGTGTCATGGTTTTGTGCCTGAGTGAGCACTGACAGAGGAGTTCCACACACTGAGAAGTTTTAGAGTCCTTTATTGCTGGCGGCGAAGAGTGGGCTCGTGCCTCAAGGAACTCTTGACCCCGAGGCCCAAAGCAACGGGGTTTATAAAGGCAAAAACCGCAAAATTGGGAGAGGAATACATGGTTGCTAAGATCAAGGGGGAGTACATAGTTACTGGGGTCAAGCTAACCTAAAACATTTGAAATTAATTATGACTTGACAATACCAGTTACAATCTTGACAATTTATCAATTATAACCTTGACTTTAATTATTGGTTTTAATTATATATAGGGCATAGACAAATCACATTTTTATCATTAACCCAGGTGCAACCTTTCTACTTTCAAGCTTGAGCAATCATGCCAGGGGTTTTCTGTGCTCTGCCAAGTGTGTGTGCACTGCTATTGTTCAACTGTTTTAGATCATAGCTTCAGATCAGAGTCTCATGGTGGGGAAGGGCGGGCTTTCCCAGAATGGAGTCTCAGGGGCTCCAGAATGGAGTCCCTACTGTCAAGGTGCTACTTCAATGGAATATACTAGAATATTCTAGATCAAGGCTATGCATGCATCCTGGGCTTTTCCTTCTAGGGCTCTTGCACTCTTCTTCTTCTTCTTCTTCTTTTTTTTTTCTTTTTTTTTTTTTTGACAGGCAGAGTTAGATAGTGAGAGAGAGAGACAGAAAGAAAGGTCTTCCTTTTTCTGTTGGGTCACCCCCCAGTGACCGCTGTGGCCGGCGCACCGCGCTGATCTGAAGCCAGGAGCCAGGTGCTTCTCCTGGTCTCCCATACGGGTACAGGGCCCAAGCACTTGGGCCATCCTCCACTGCACACCCGGGCCACAGCAGGGAGCTGGACTGGAAGAAGAGCAACCGGGACAGAATCTGGCACCCTGACCGGGGCTAGAACCCGGTGTGCTGGCATCGCAGGCAGAGGATTTGCCTATTGAGCCACGGCGCCGGCCCTTCTTGGACTCTTAAGTTCTAGAAGGGTTGAGATTGGCAGCAAAGCATCATGAAAACTGAACACAGAAGCTACTAAAAATTATTCTTAATTTTATTTTGCATTAAAATGCATACATTAATTCTGCCCCATGTCTGGTGCGTTTAAAAAAATATGAATTTAAAATCCCATCATTATGTAGGATGTGTACTTTGCAATTTGCAAGGAATCACACTGTTTCTGGAAAATCCCAGAAAGTTTTAGAAAATTCCAGAAAGTTCTAAAATCTCCCCTAAAAGTCCATGCAATAGCAGAATTGCAAGATGAGTTTCTTGCAGTGGGGTTTGCAAGTCAGGAAGAGGTCACAGTGGAACTCAGTGGCTCTAGAAGCAGCTCTGGGCCCTGAGGGACCTGCAGTAGGAGACCCCAGCCCCCAACAGCACAAGCAGCAGCACAGACACGATGGGGGATACCACTCTGGTCACTGTATTCCCTGCAGGTGAGAGGGAACAGTGAGAGGCCCCGGGGAGACTCATATGGAGCTCCTCATGCAGGCTCAGAGCCCTGTGCACCTGCTGGGAGACCTGGATGGCACTCCTGGTCCAGGCTCAGGGCCTTGTGCAACTGCTGGGAGTCCCAGATAGAGCTCCTGGTACTGTCCCTGAGCCCTGTGCACCTGCTAGGAGACCCAGATGGAGCTCCTGGTGCAGGCTCTGGGCCTGTGTTCCAGCAGGGAAACCTGGATGGAGCTCCTGGTGCATGCTTAGGGCCCTGTGAATCAGCAGGTATACCCAGATGGTGCTTCTGGGGTAGGTTTGGAGCCCTGTGCACCTGCTGGGAGATCCGTATAGAGCTCCTGGTGCAGGTTCAGGGCCCTGTGCACCTGCTGGGAGGCCCAGATTGAGTTCCTGGTGCAGGCTCATGTCCCTCTGCACCTGTTGTACTCACAGGGGAGGCTGAAATGTAGACCCAGATGTTGCATCAGGTGCACAGGACATCACTTGGGTTGATTCTGTGGCACTCTAGAAGCTTCAGCATCCATAACCCAAGCCTCTGTGTACAGTCTGGAGCAGAGGAATATGTCTGATCCTGAACCCCACCAGTGCCTGTTCACAGTCATGTGAGTTCGGTAGAAGCTTCTGGATGCCGGCTGCCTTACCTTGCAGACTAGTGGGGTCAGGGTCTCCGTCCGGGCCTGGGATGGGAAAAACATGTGCTCAGCCATGTGTGTGTGTGCATGTGATGTGTGAGCCAGGAGCACACATGCATGCCCATGCATGCTCACACATCAGGACCACTCAATGGGAATGCTCACCTGTGGGCTCCAGGCTCCTTGGGTGCAAATCTGTGGGGAGGGGGTGGAGTCTGTGTCCCATGCAAAATAAATAAATAAAAACTCCATTGGTACAGCAGGTGTGCAAGGCCCTAAGCTGCCCTGGGGTGCTTTTCCCAGGTCTCCCAGCAGGTGTGCAGGACCCTGAGCTGCCCCCAGAAGCTCCACCCAGTTCTCTTAGCTGATTGGACCTGGAAAATCAGGCAGGGTAAGAATCCTCAGGAACTGGAGTCCAAGACAACCATGACTCATTGGGCAGAATGGGGACCTGATCATGCCCTAAGAAATCCACTTTTAGATTTCCAGGCAAGGACTGGCCCTCAGAGGAAGGGAATATTTTAAACTCTGTGAGAAATGTGTGAATGTGTGGCTGCTCCTGCATCCATTGGTTGTTCAAATCTGTTGACCCATGGTGCAAGCTATGGGTTACATGTGAACCTGAAACCATGATGTTAGTAAAATGGTGCAGTCTTATCTGTGGCATCATCTAGGCCCCAGATACCATCTTAGGCTCTGGCTCCACCACCATTGCTAGAAGCCAGGTAACCAGATGGCCCAACCCCAGGTGTCAGCTCCACCCCCACCCTAATGGGATTTGCTGCTCCTACCTCCCTGCCCACCTCCCAGCAAAGATTTAATAGGAACTGTTCCTGGAACACATGCTCTCTCTCTCTTATGCTCTCTTATTCTCTCAACCTCTGCCCCCAGCCATTCAGGCTTCTCCCGCCCAACAATAAACCTTTCTTCTAACTCCACGTGTTTTGTAGCAGCCTTACATTGGTGCCATGACTCAGATCCAGGCTCTCCTATTGATCTTACTTTCATCTCTGAGCTGCCTGGGGTCCTTGATTTCTACCAGTCACAAAACACACTTTTGGACCTCTTTCCAGGCCACTGAATGCTCCATGATCTCCAGCCACACACTGGCCTCTCAAATTCCTGAGGTAAGATGGGGTAGGTAGAGGATCCTCTCAGTGTAACTGCACTGTGTTGGGGTTCTGCTGTGTTTCATTTCAAAGTCCTGATACAAGGTACCCACAACTGCTACAGCCTCATGCCTCTATGGATTCTGTGTCCAGGCATCAGTGGGTGTGGGTAACAACTCAACCTCCTGTTTCCCTTCTATGGACTAAGCCCTGGGCTCCAGTGGGTGCATGGGATGGCTGAGATCTCAAGAACTCTTGATATCAGCTTATCCGACTCTACGAATAGACATGGGAACTTCTCCATCCCACATTCCATCCAACCCTCCTCTCAGTTGTCTCCTACCTTGTCAACTCAGTCCAAATGGCTGTGTAGCCCCAACATTATTGGTATCTCTACCACTTCTGTGAATGTTTGGAAAAGTAGAAGCTTTCCTATGCCTAAACCTTCTATCTCTGCTCCTGCTGTCTGGCTCAAACTCTCTTAACTTCCAAAGTTCTTGCTAAAAAGCCAAAACCCCTTTCTTCTATGTTCATCGCTCCAGCTCTCACTGTCTCGTTTACTGTAGCCTTCCCCTCCCACCCAGGAATTCTGACCCTATGTCTGAACCAGGCTTTGTCCAAAGTCTACTCCCCGTGATAGAGAGGGGTGATCCTCTCTATCACCCCCCCTTCTAAAGAAGCACAGACAAGTTTGGGAATGGGCCTTGTCACCATGCCTTCACCTTACAGCCCTCTTCCGATTGGTATTTGCCCCTTTCCCTCCTGTTCCAATTTTTTTTTTTTTTGACAGGCAGAGTGGACAGTGAGAGAGAGAGACAGAGAAAAAGGTCTTCCTTTGCCGTTGGTTCACTCTCCAATGGCCGCCGCAGCCGCAGCTGGCCTGGAAGAGGGGCAACCGGGACAGAACCCGGTGTGCCGGCGCCGCTAGGCGGAGGATTAGCCTAGTGAGCTGCGGCGCTGGCTTCCTGTTCCAATTTTACCATAAGAATAGCAAGAGAGTGGTGAGTCCCTCCTTCAGCGCTCCCTGTTTACTTTGTAACAAGTTAGGTATCCCAGGCTTTTGATAGCCCTTTTGTTCTATCTTGAGCAAGCTAGATGGAATAATTAGGTCTTTTGATGGATTTTGTCCCCAACTTGTAACTGAATGTTGAGCTGACCTCACCAGGACTCTTTAGTTCCTACAAACTCAATTTCCTGGTCCCATTAGTGACCATTTCCTAGACTGGCCCATCAAACCAGCCGGATCACTGGATTAATTACTATTTCCAGACATACTTCCTTTTCCCTAATTGCCCCTTACTGCGTCATCTATCAGATTCTCCTCCTTAAAAATCTCTCTCCAACCAGAGGGATGTCCATCTACTCTGAAGGATGCTCCCCGCCCCCATTAAACCTAACAGAATGGCGAACAATCTCCAGTGAACTTCTTGTCCTTGGCACATTGGCCCCTAGCCCACAGTCACCTTTGGGACCTGTCTAGCAGCTGCCTGAACTTGTGTTTCAGAGGCAGTCCCAAATGTCTGACTGTTACCTAGGGCATCATTGGCTTAAGGTGTTCTTAGGGTAAAAAGCAACTATAACTAGACATTGGGTTTAAAGGAATTTCTGTTTTTCAAATCTAGGAAGATCACTGCCTTTAAAAATATTACTTTGTAGCTTGCCAAACTTATTTTGCAATTTGTTTTAACAGGTTTCTGATAATATAGGAATTGGTAATCAGTAGTTGATGAAACAGCAATGGATAATCAGTATTTGTTATAGCCCCTGATGGTAGATTTTTATTCTCTGATTTCATGTCACTGATTTATAGCTAGAGTTTTATAAAAGGAGTAGAATTCCATATGAATGCAATTTTGTCTATAGAGGTATGATATAATACCAGCATCCTAGTCATCCAGGTGTAATTGCTAAATATAACTTGGGTACAAGCAAATGAGATGAATGTTAAGAGTACCCTGGTACTCTTAACACTTTATATTCTATAGAAAAATTATTTGTGTTTGCTAACATGTTTTCATAAATTGTCCATAGAAATAGATAAGTCTGGGTCTCATAACTGGCAAGCCCTTAAAGCTCACCAGATTATTATCAGGCCCCTTCCGTCAGTTTCTGTTTGCCTCTCAGAGAACTTATTCATGGCTTAGACAGCATGTTTCTTAGGTCCTCTAATAATGACTCTATCCTTTGTTATAGATCCTATCTAGCCCACTTGGGGCCTCATTCCTTTGTAATCTTAGCCTCTACTCTTAACATCAATGACTCTACTCCAGACCTGTGTGTACTGATGGTCTTCTCCCCTACTTAATGTTGTATGATTGTTCAGAATTTCTCTACAGACAAACCCCTTACCCTCAGCAGAAGAGCATCCTTTCTCCCAATCTTGGTTGGGATCAGCTTCAAACCATATCCATCAGTCTTCATAAGGGTCCAGAGACCCTTCTTATTTCCTGTCCTCTATGAAACCCTTTCATTACTTCGTTAATGCCACTCTTAGGACCATTGACTGCTATTCTCTTGTCTTTTATACTACTTTGTCTGCTTAAATGTTTACAGGAGGTGATAATGGAACGAACCAAAGTCTTCACTAACCAGGCAGTCAACCAGATGCTTCTATAGGGATATACTTAGCTCTCCATCCAGGAGACAGAGGCTTGTGACATCACTCCATGCAAGCAGAGAGTAATCCATCACCCCATGTCAACAGGAAGTAACTCTAAAGACAGATAATCATTTCTCCACCCCTCCTGGACTTTTGGGGCTGATGTAATCCTATACAATACTTGCTAAAACAAAAGGGAGGAATGTTAGTAAAAATGGCACAGTCTGTGGCACCATCTAGGCCCCAGACATCATCTTAGGCTCTAGCCCCACTGCCATTGCTGGAAATCTGGTGACTAGATGGCCCAACCACAGGTGTCAGCTCCACCCCCACCCTAATAGGATTCACTGCTCCTATTTCCCTGTCCACTCCCTGGTAAAGGTTTAACAGGAGCTGTTCCCGGAACATGTGCTCTCTCTTATTCTCTCTTACCCTTTTTTACTCTCTTGCCCTCTCCACCTGGCCTGTTGGGCTTCCCTCACCTGACAATAAACCTTTCCTCTGACTCTGGTGTTTGGTGTGTTTTGTGGAGGCCTTACACATGGTTCTGTGGTGATCCTCATATGATCAAGGTTCACACCAGTACAGTGGATCAGACTCTGGATAGGCCTTGGTTTCTGTGGTGTGTCCTCTCTAGGAAACCTCAGGAGAATGAGAGACATCTCACTGACCCGCTATAGGCAGAAGAAAACTTTGGGAACTCCCTGAGCTTGTCCTCACCTGGTAAATAGGTAACACTCTCTGCACATTCCACCTTGCCTCACTGGAATCCTATCTTCTCAGCAGGGCTCAAGGCATCCTATAGACACCAGGGAGAGGTGGCTGAGTATAGGTAACTGTGTCTGCTGGCTCACTGTGAGCCAGTGATGTGAGGCTCTCACAGCCAAGGGCTTGAATATTTCTAGAAGGAAAAGGCACCCATGGCAGACCTTTAGGACACTGAAAATTCACTTCCCACTCAGACCTTGACCCAAAGCTCAAGCCAGGAAGACAATTGGAGAACTCAGTATCGCGAGTGCCTACTGTCACACAGCTCGATGGTAGCAAGTGTGATATACAACTTGTCAGTCATGGGGAAGAAAGGAATACATGGACACAAAACTGTCTTTCCAATGAGAGATTTTATTGCTTATCACCAGGGTTTTTTTTTTTTTTTTTTTTTATCACACTACTCATCAGCATGCTCATTGAGGTCAATACACTTATCAGTATCAATATACTTACCAATCTATACTAATTAATACACTTATCAATAAACTTAGCACCACTACTTAATCACGGCTTAACTACTTAGCTACTTAGCTTAACGTAACTACTTAGCTTAACTACTTAGCTAAATCACCTAACTTAACATAATTACTTAACACACTTATCAATATCACTAATATCACTATCAATAATATCAATATCATTTATCATAACTTATAGCTAACTTAACACACTTACTGAATTATTTAGCTTAACATAACTACTTATCTTTTTTTTAAAAGATTTATTTATTTGAAAGAATTACACAGAGAGATGAGAGGCAGAGAGAGAGAGAGTCTTCCATCCGATGGTTCACTCCACAGACCACAACAGCCAGAGATGCACCGATCTGAAGCCAGGAGCCAGGAGCTTCTTCCAGGTCTCCCACATAGGTGCAGGGGCCCAAGGACTTGGGCCATCCTCCACTGCTTTCCCAGGCCAGAGCAAAGAGCTGGACAGGAAGTGGAGCAGCTGAGTCTTGAACCGGTGCCCATATGGGATGCTGGCACTTCAGACCAGGGCGTTAACCCACTGCACCACAGCACCAGCCCAACATAACTACTTATCTTAATATATATACCTAATCTTAACAATATCACTTACTGGCCAGAAAATCAATATTCTTATACCATAAGTCACAACAAACACTATTAAAATAATCTTAAGTGCTATCACAATGAACAATACAAGGACAACAAAAGATTCAATACACAACATTGGTTTGCTACGTATCTAGGCTCACATCACTGTCACGAATGTGTTTCTCCTGCAGGGAGTGTCCAGTGTCCAGAGTTCAATGTCCCAGCAGGGACAGAACTCGGATCAGTCACTTACAGGCAGGAAGTTGTGGGAAGGCTGTCACTCTGGGCAGTAGGCTCAAAGTTACCAGGCAGATGGCCAGGCAAGAAGTTGAAGAGGTCCCCTGCTAAGAGACCTGGTCCGGCTTTGTGGTCAGGTCTGGCACTAGGCTGATAAGGACTCCAGGCAAGGTGGTGAGGTGGCATCTCGGCTGGAGTTTTGATCCCATAGTCGTCTTGTGTCGCTTAGCAAGGGGGCTAGCGAGCTGGCGCTTCAGCTCCAACTGTGAGGAGATCCAGAGGTTCGTTCGCACTGGGCCATGAACACACACACACTCATACAGTGGGGTTACAACTCAGGGACAGCTCTGCAGGTCAGCTTGTGCCACTACCTGCTCCATGCATAGTGGGCTGCCTCTTCAGCTCCAGATATGTGGAGATCCAGAGGTTCACACAACACCAGACCTTGATCTCTGAGAGGATGGAGAGTGGTGCAAGAGCTCCCTTTCATTTTCTGGCAGTACTCCAGCTTGCCATCCTCCAACTTGTCCAATCAATGCCGTTTCCTCCTTGCTTGCAGTTGAACAGTCCAGTCAATACTGTTCCCACTTATTTATGTTTGAATGGTTCAGTCAGCATGGGTAGGAGGGTATTGTCCATAGAACACTGTTATCTGACTGACCAGAGATGTCTGCTTGGTATGATTAGGAGTGTCTCCCTAATAGCCATTAGGCATTACCTCAGCTCCTGATTATAACTCCACTTTACTTTTATTTTGTGGCTAGTGGTAACTTTTATTAACTCAATGTTTTACTGTGGAGTTTCCACAGTTCATCTGCTTTCCAGGTAAGCAGTGATCCATGACTCTTTTTTAGATTCCTGTGGGATTCTCCACACTCAGCCTTAAGAAAATTACTCTCTAGAATTTTAAAAGGACTTTCTTAATTCAGAACCTAGTCTCTGACCTTGGGACTTCCAGCTGGATCCCTGGAACTCTCAAATGATGAAATTCAAACTGGCATGGAATTGGCATCATTTTTTCATATCATAAGATACATTATCAAGTTATAAAACCAAACTTCTGTTGTGTTTATACAAAAACCTAAAGGGTTAAACTCCACTCCCCTCCTCTCTGCCTGTAGTTTCTTTGGAAAAGAGAGAGAGTTTGATTTTTTTTTCTTCTCTTTGTTTTGTGATGTTAATTCCACCTCTTTGCTGAGAATAGGGAGGAGAAAGTTCTGTCTCCCAGCCTGGGACAGTGATACATAAAGTCTCCTGGATGTAGATTGGCAATCTCTGGTGGAGTTCTCGCCCATGACACATCAACCCCTGAGCCATACTCTTGTGACATGTATTGAAGTTTCCTGAGCACATGTTTGTTTCAGAGATGGTCCCAAGTACCTGACCGTTCACTAAGTGTTGGCCTGAAGTTCTTGTTAAAGTCTTGTAAAAGACTAGGCTGAAATCCAATCTAAATCAAAGATAAATAATCTTATCCATGAGAATTTGATTCAACTGTAACTGGATATTTGGTTTAAAGGAATTTCTCTCTTTTGAACCTAGGAATATCACTGGCTTAAATTAATTGCCTTATAATTTGCCAGACTTGTTTTATGACTTTGGTTTAACAGATTGGGATGAAATAGCAATGGATAATCAGTGCTCATTATAACTCCTAAGATCAATTTTGCAGTCTCTGGCTTATGTCACTGATTTCCAGTTAGAGTTTTTAAAATAGGATTAGAATTCCATATAAATGTAATCTTGACCTTAATTCAGATAAAGGGATAATATAATAGCATCTTAAGTCATCTAGGTGTAATTACTGAATGTAAATTGTGTCAATGTGAATGAGATAAATGTGTCTAAATATAAACTTAAGTACTCTTAGTACCCTATATTCTGTGCAAAAAATTTTGAGTTTGTTAACAAATATATTTTCATAAACTGTCCATATATGAAAAATAATTCAAGAACTGCTTGAAGGTAACTAAGGTTAAAATGTGAAAATGTCTTGATTTGGAGATTTTTAAAGGATTATTTCAATGTACATCAAGGAAATCCGCAGATGGAAAAGGTTCACGAGTATAGAAATGTGTGCTTGGTAAAGAAGGAAAGAGATTTTTTGAATAAAGAAAGGGCATTGTTTGTAACAATTACTTTAATCCTGATGGCTAGTTTAATCTAGACTGAAATAGAAATATAGAAAGGTTGGTACCAGCACTGTGGCACAGTAGGTTAATCCTCTGCCTGCAGTGCTGGCATCCCATATGGGTGCTGGTTCAAGTCCCGGCTCCTCCTCTTCCAATCCTGCTCTCTGCTATGGCCTGGAAAGCAGAAGATGGCCCAAGTCCTTGGGCCCCTGCACCCACATGGGAGACCAGAAGAAGCTCCTGGCTCCTGGCTTCAGATTGCTGGAGCTCTACCTGTTGTAGCCATTTGGGGAGTGAACAAGTGGACAAAAGACCTTTCAGTCTCTCCTCTCATTGTCTGTAACTCTACCTCCCAAATAAATAAATAAAATATTTAAAAAAATGTGTTTAAGTAAATTGTAGAAGGTGTGAGGAAATCACAGAAGGTTATGAAAGAAAGATTTTTGGATACAAAGATATTAATCTATTTTTCTTTAACATAGAATTAGAATCTGATCCTCTGCTAAAGCAATGAGATTTTTGCAATATGTATGTTAGTAAATATTTTGAAATAGTCTTTAAAATTTGTGTAAAAACTCCAGAATTTCCTTTTAAGAATTTTTGTTTAATTGATAACTGTCAATTTTCTATTCAGCAGTGAGCTCTCTGCTCTTTCCTACTTCTGACTCTGTTAAAATTGTTTTAAGTTATAGGATATGATCCTGTCAGGGAACGGGACAGCCTGGCCAGCTGTGCCCCTCTCGACATGTACAAGCACAAAGAAGTTTAGTGCTGGGCTTTTTCCACCCTGCCCGTTGCTAATTGCAAGATCCTGTTTTGACTTTAAGCATCCTGTTATTGCATGTTTCCCACACTTAATTGGTAACATGTTTTCCGTGAATCATATATAAATAGGTGGACGGTGGGCGGGAGTGAATGAATGAACGCTGGTAAAAGGCGGGAGTTATGAATGAACGCCGGTAACATGCGGGAGCTGTGAATGAACGCCAGTAGTAAGCGGGAGTGGTGAATGAAGGAGTTGTGAATGAATGCCGGTAACAGGGCGGGCGTTCGCGACATGTAACGCGAGTCTGCTGAAAAATAAAGTGAAGCTGAAAAGCCGATAAACGCGTCTGGTGTCTCCGAGGTCTCGCCGGCATTAACCTATCCGGAAGGTGTACGCCTGCATGATCCCATATCCTATTCACTAGCTCTTTTTTTAAAAAGATTTATTTATTAACTTGAAAGATTTATTTCTTAACAGAGTTACACAGAGAGAGAAGGAGAGGCAGAGAGAGAGAGAGAGAGAGAGAGAGAGAGAGAGAAAGTGGTCCTTCACCCACTCACCCGCTGGTTCACTCCCCAGTTGGCGGCAAGTGCAGGAGCTGTGCCAATCCAAAGCCAGGAGCTAGGAGCTTCCTCTGTGTCTTCCACATGGGTGCAGGGGCCCAAGGACTTGAGCTATCTTCTACTGCTTTCCCAGGCCATAGCAGAGAGCCAGTTTGGAAGTGGAGGAGCCAAGACTTGAACTGACACCATATGGGATGCAGGCACTGCAGGCAGTGGCTTTACCCACTATGCCATAGCACTGGCTCCTCACTAACTCTTAAGTTTAAGGTTTTGTTTCTGATTTTTTGGGATGACCAAAGAGACACAGATTTTGTGTTTTTTGAAGTAAGCTATTGTGTTCTCTACTGTCTGTTAAGTTCTGATTGAATAAGAACAACTGAATTTTAAAAGGGTTATGGTTTGTTTGAATATATACTCATTCTAAAGCATTTGAGTAATCATTTTGTACCAGTAGTCAAATCTGGTCTATGTTATGTCATGATGTTAAGGGATCCTGTTTCTACCAGATATTTTAAACCTTCTTAGCATCTTTGACAAGCATTCAAGACATCAAAGTTCCAAATCCTTTGGACTTGATATTTCCAGCTGGGATCCTGTCAAAAGATGTGTTTCTCATCTTGTGGATACACCAACTAAATAACGTACTTTTATAATGTGAAGTGGTGCTAAAATTAAGTAATGATAATATGAAATGCTACTAATACAAGTGATCAAAACTTAGAAAAGTCTAATGATCTTGTGTCTTTATCAGACATGATGGTTATCTTAATGAGAAAGGCCCAGAAGCCTAAAAGGGATAAATATTTTATAAAATTCTACAGGTGCTTTCAAAAATATTGTATGGAGTAAGTGCCTCTCCTTGTTGGTTAATGAGTTTATAATTTTAAAGATAACTATTTAAAGTGTTTTGTCCTCTACAATTTGTATTCTCCTCCAAACACTAAAAATAAGATTCACTGCTCATAGAAACTAAAACACTGTTAGTTCTGTGTTTAAATGTATCCTCTTTTAGGTTCCAAACACCTCTGTTGTATTCAGTACTTTGGGATGGCTCAACAAACAGATAAAACCAAAGTTTAACAGATTTCAACTGAGAAAATCTAAAGTTAATTCAGATTACTAAGAGGAGGAAGTAATTCAAATGACTTGGAATTTTTGAAAGGATCAAATATTTTAAAAAGCCATTACTGAAACTGCTTTATTGTTCTATCCTGTAATGTATATTATGTGTTATGTATGTATTTTATGTCCTTATGAAAAATTTATTAACTGTTTTAATTGGTTTGTTGATTAAAAAAAACTGCTCATATAACTTTAAAGTGCTACATTAACCTAAAATACATTTTTGGTTCACATGACTTAGATAAATCTCTGTGTCAGATGCTTTAAATTTGTTGGTAGAAAGAAACTAAAAATGTTTCATTGACATGTTTGTGCTTGGGTTTGCTGGTAAAATGAGTTACATTAGAGGGGCTGGCACTGTGATGTAGTAGGTAAAGCCGTCGCCTGCAGTGCCGGCAGCCCGTATGGGCACCACTTCGAGTATTGGCTACTCTTCTTCCAATCTAGCTCTCTGCTATGGCCTGGGAAAGCACTAGAAGATGGCCCAAGTCCTTGGGCCGCTGCACCCACGTGAGAGACCCAGAAGGCACTCCTGGCTCCTGGCTTCAGATTAGCACAGTTACGGCTATTGTGGCAATTTGGAGAGTGAACCAGCGATGGAAGAGATCTCTTTCTCTCTCTCTCTCTGCCTCTCCTTCTCTCTCTGTGTAACTCTGTGTTTCCAATAATAAAAATAAATCTTTAAAAAAAACACATTGGACTTTTTGGTAAATGTTTTCTTAAGTTGGTTTATTTGACAATTAGAATTGTTAAGTTTTCATTTGATATTTGATATTACGTTATTGACAGGAAGGGATCTGACTTATTCCCTCATTTGTCTCTTCTCTTTAAGATAGGAAACTGGAGGTCAGCACTGCGGTGCACTCAGTTAACACCCTGGTCTGAAGCACTGGCATCCCATGTGGACACCGGTTCTAGTCCCGGCTGCTCCTCTTCCAGTCCAGATCTCTGTTGTGGCCTGGAGAACCAGTAGAAGATGGCCCAGGTCCTTGGGCCCCTGCGCCTGCATGGGAAACCTGGAGGAAGCTCCTGGCTTCTGGCTTTGGATCGGCTCGGCTCCGACCGTTGCAGCCATCTGGGGAGTGAACCATCAGATGGAGGACCTCTCTCTCTTTCTCTCTCTCTCTCTCTCTCTCTCTCTCTCTGCCTCTCATCTCTCTGTGTAACTCTGACTTTCAAATAAATAAATAAATAAATAAATCTTAAAAAAAAGGAAACTCATTATCTTCTGAAGGAAACTCCATAAGAATCTACAGTTTGATCTTTAGACCTTAAAGGGGATGGCTAACATTTTTCTGTAGTAATAGCCTGACCACATATAGAAAACCAAGTAGTATAGCCTAAAGGAGAGCTTACTTTATGATCTCAGATTTACTTTGCAATGGGCACAGTAAATGAGCAAAACCTCCCTTTTTCAAACCAAACTAAGGGAGAGAGAAAGAGTTTTACTAATATCTTCAGAATTTATAGATAAAGTGGTCATCATGTTTGATCTTAAAGTAAAGACACAGTTCTCTTCAGAGCATCATCTTATCTCACAGAAAGAACACAGAACATGCCTGTGAACACAGATTTTTGTGACCACCAAAGATTACTGATGGTATTGAGCACCCCCTTGGCTTGCATCTTCTTAAAGCCTTCCTCTGTGTTCTACTTTAACAGACTGGGAGTAAAAGGATTGAGGCAGGCAGCAGCAGTGTAAGGATAGATGGCAGGCCAACTAATAGCTTTACACAATAATCTGCCATCAAGGAGAATGAACAGGTCAGTCAACCTCAAATGGCATGAGTTTTCAATATGGAAAGCCAGGAGGGCTTCAGCCTCTGATGAGCTCTGTCAGTTCTGCCAGCCAAGAGCTGGGTCACTGGAAACAGAATTGCCCTGAGGTCAAATGACCCCCACTTCAGAGCTGCAGACCTTGTTGGCTCTTAGCTGAAAAGCCCTTCACTCTACCCAGCTTTTCTTTTTCTTCAATATATTTTTTTATTTGAAAGAGTTACAGAGGAGGTAGAGACAGAGAAAGAGGTCTTCCATCTGTTGGTTCACTCCCCAGATGGCCACAATGGCCAGAGCTACACCAATCTGAAGCCAGGAGCCAGGATCTTCTTCTGGGTCTCCCACATGGGTGCAGAGGCCCAAAGACTTGGACAATCTTCTACTGCTATCCCAGGCCACAGCAGAGAGCTGGATCAAAGGAGAAGCAGCTGGGACTAGAACCAGCACCAATATGGGATGCCAGCATTTCAGACCAGGCTTTAACCTGCTGTGCCACAGTGCCAGCCCTCTACCCAGCTTTTAAAGCAACCACTGCTGTTGAGGGGATGACCTAGGGTCAGTAACATTGCAGGCAAAACTGTAAATTTCCTTTTAGAGATGTCACCTACTTACTATTCATACCAGCTAGGTAATGGAAGTCAACAGAGTGCCTTCCCTAAAGAGGTTCACACCTCCCTTCTGTCTCTTCCAGTACTTTATGGCAGGGACCATATTCTGTTGTGCTTGCTACTTTCACTGCTCTCAAAGTTACAGGTTTGGCTTCTTGGATTCATCACACTCAGATTAAGCCAACTCCACATGTCACCTGGTCATCTTACCTGGTTTCTGGGGAGCTGCTGAAGCTTTGCCTTTCTGAGGACCACGATGGACAACCACAAGAGCCAGACCCTTTGGAAAGCTCACCCAACTTAGACACCAACACCCTGCCCTGACCATACACCAGAAACTGGTCAGTCTATGCATCATGGAAGCTTGAGAAATCTATAGTTTTAGCTCCAGCCACAGACCTGGAGACCAAATAGTCAACACACATCAAAAGCCTGGAAAATTTAACAGATGACACCTGAGAGTTGGGGCCACCAATGTCACCCTACTCTGTTGGAGCTGATCATGATTGTAGGTTTAGCTGAGGTTGCCTCAAAGGACTGGTACTAGCTACAGAGAGTTGCTCTGGCCCTGTTTTGCTAAGTTCCAGGGTGCATGGTCAGATTACTGTCCCAGGGCATATGGGTTTTTGGGTTACTCCCCTAGGATTTGATAAATTCTATTGCCTCAGCTACCAGGTCTCAGGATCAACAGTCCATTGGCCTCACTTTCAATGGGTATGCACTCCTAGATTTTGCCAAAGATAACAGCTCTGTTCCTACTGTGGCCACTACAATACTATTTGGCTGACATCTACCTCTGTGGTGGACCGACCCCCACTTAGCCCAAGAAGTGCACCCAATGCTACACATCTGGTTGGATTTTCAAGTTCTGGGTTGTTAAGACCTCCAGTGGTTTTCAGTGTTGGGCCACTGGTTCTCCTGTTACAGATAGCTATCATTGGCTCCTGCATACTCAATGTCATTACCCATTTTATTAACTTGCAAATTGCAAATTGCTAAAGCTCTATTTCTCATGGAGTACTGGTTACTAGGGGACCATCCCCTAGAAGATGAGGCTTTTAGAGGATTCTAAAAGTTCCCTAAAGAAGAAGAGGTGGGGGCCGGCGCTGTGGCACAGTGGGTTAACACCCTGGCCTGAAGCGCTGGCATCCCATTTGGGTGCCGGTTTGAGACTTGGCTGCTCCACTTCCGATCCAGCTCGCTGCTGTGGCCTGGGAAAGCAGTAGAAGATGGCCCAAGTCCTTGGGCCCCTGCACCTATGTGGGAGACCTGGAAGAAGCTCCTGGCTCCTGGTTTCAAATCGGCACAGCTCTGGCCATTTTGGTCAATTGGAGAGTGAACCATTGAATGAAAGACTTCTCTCTCTCTCTGCCTCTCATCTCTCTGTGTAACTCTAACATTCAAATAAATAAATAAATCTTTTTTAAAAAAAGGAGGGAATATTACAGACCCTTTCCTGCTGGACAATAAAGGAGCCAAATTGAGAGAATGCTACAGATTTCCTACTGCTTGTTATCAAAGGGCCATCTGGATCTAAGCAAACCAGTACTGATTTAGAAACCAGTTTGTTTCCCCACATGTCATAAAAGCCTAGTCAAGTACCTAAGATAAGTTAATTGTGTGACTCCTAAAACTGTCTTTAAGTTATAATTTACTCATCCCTGTAAGTAAAATTATCTTACCTTGCAGTTGTGATTTATTAGTCCCTGAGGGGCTAAGATAACAATGTAATCCCCAAAGCTGCCCCAATGGCCTCAAAACTACCTTGTTACTGCCATGCTAAATTTAGGGTATAAAAGTAGTGAAAGATAGAGGATTGGGGCTTGACTCTTTTTTTTTTTTTTTTTTTTGACAGGCAGAGTGGATAGTGAGAGAGAGAGACAGAGAGAAAGGTCTTCCTTTTGCCATTGGTTCACCCTCCAATGGCCGCCACAGCTGGCGCGCTGTGGCCGGCGCACCGCGCTGATCCAATGGCAGGAGCCAGGTGCTTCTCCTGGTCTCCCATGGGGTGCAGGGCCCAAGCACTTGGGCCATCCTCCACTGCCTTCCCTGGCCACAGCAGAGAGCTGGCCTGGAAGAGGGGCAACCGGCACAGAATCCGGCGCCCTGACTGGGACTAGAACCCGGTGTGCCGGCACTGCTAGGTGGAGGATTAGCCTACTGAGCCACAGTGCCGGCGGAGCTTGACTCTTAGGACACAAGTCTAGCTCTAGTCATGGATCCATGAATAAATAAATGGTGTGCCTCCCTCATCCCCAAAGCCTCAAATGTCATTTGGTTTCTTTGATCATTGTCCATAACATCTTTAGGAGTCTGAATTGATGAGTGACTGAGTCAAAGCAATTGTGAAAAACTAAAAATTGTTTTTCATTGATGAACATTTTTAAAATATAATGATGAAATAATAAAAGTATTTGAAAATTTTGAAGTTGATGGCATTACATTATATCACTACCCCCTTATCCTTTGAAGGTTTTAGTAGCTTGCTTGTTGTCACTCTCTAAACTCCCACTTCTGTCAAATTCTTGATTTTTTTTAACTTTTATTTAATGGATATAAATTTCCAAAGTACAGCTTATGGATTACAATGGCTTCCCCCCCATAACTTCCCTCCCACCTGCAACCCTCCCCTTTCCCTCTCCCTCCACCCTTCCATGCACATCAAGATTCATTTTCAATTCTCTTTATATACAGAAGATCAGTTTAGTATATATTAAGTAAAGATTTCAACAGTTTGCACCCACATAGAAACACAAAGTGAACAATACTGTTTCAGTACTAGTTATAGCATGAAATCACAATGTACAGCACATTAAGGATAGAGATCCTACATGAGGAGTAAGTGCACAGTGACTCCTGTTGTTGACTTAACAAATTGACACTCTTATTTATGATGTCAGTAATCACCGTAGGCTCTTGTCATGAGTTGCTAAGGCTATGGAAGCCTTTTGAGTTCACCGACTCTGATCATATTTAGACAAGGTCATAGTCAAAGTGGAAGTTCTCTCCTCCCTTCAGAGAAAGGTACCTCCTTCTTTGATGACCTGTTCTTTTCACTGGGTCTTCCTTTGCCGTTGGTTCACTCTCCAATGGCTGCAGCGGCCAGCGCGCTGCGGCCGGTGCACCACGCTGATCCGATGGCAGAAGCCAGGTACTTCTCCTGGTTTCCCATGGGGTGCAGGGCCCAAGGACTTGGGCCATCCTCCACTGCACTCCCTGGCCACATGAGAGAGCTGGCCTGGAAGAGGGACAACTGGGACAGAATGCGGCGCCCCGACCGGGACTAGAACCCGGTGTGCCGGCGCCGCA